TTCTCCACCTTCCTAATGCCTCCTAATGCACAACCCTTTAATGCAGTTCCTCGTGTTGTGGTGACCCCCAACCATAAAATTATTTTCATTGCTACTTCATAACTGTAATTTTGCTACTGTTATGAATCATAATGTAAATATCTGATATGCAGGATGTATTTCCATTGTTACAAAGGGGTTGTGACTCACAGGTTGAGAACCACTGCTCTAGATAGATTTGTTTAAATAGGGAATAGTAAAAAAAAAAAAACACACACACAACTTGGATGGAAATCACTGAGCAGTTGTCTGACGGGCTTGATAGTTTACTTATTCTTCCTGGACCAGTTTCATCATAAATAGGAATAGAAATACTACCAGTTCTTCTTGTTTCACAAGATTATTATGAGAATTACATAAGAAATGTGCGTGAGGACACCTCGTAAATTATAAGCACTACATAAATGGTTCTTATAATTGTTAGGGTCATTATGACTGTTGTTCTATATTTAAATCCACGTCTGTGGAAAAAACATACAACATAATTTTTATCAAATATAAATTCAATTAATTTGAAATTTGTACATAAAATGAAGAAATGACACCTTTCAGATATCCTGCTGAACCTAGAGATTTAAAGAAAAAGGAAACCATCGAAAAGATGACCACTGCGCTGTGCTGTTGAATCTACTCCCTTAGATGGGAATGGTAAACTCAAGAGAGGAGGATGAGGAATGTAAGATCACTCATAGCAGGAAACACCTGCATTTCTGACATAAAATAGTAATTACAGAAATTAAACTTCTTGGCTGAACTTTGGTGATAAGATATACCTGCTAGAGTGTCCTAGTACTTTACACGTAGTGAGAATTCACTGAATGTCTGTGAAATGAATGAATTTTCTAGAGAAGTAAATCAAAATCTTTGTCAAGGTACATAACAGAAGCAAAATTAAAATAAGTCTAAGACAGCCATGCAACCCAGTATTCCCATCTTCCCTCCATTGATACAGGCCGTGTCACTTCTGGTTGTAGAAAGATGTAGCCATAGGGAGTGACCATCTGAACCTATTTGTTTTCACTCAATTGTACTCTTCAGATCCAAGGCTGACAGTGTTCAGACTCTAGCAAGAGTGGCCCTTAAATTTCTTTTCTCTTTTTATTTATTTATTGTTTTTGAGACAGAGTCTCACTCTGTCCCCCTGGGTAAAGTGCCATGGCATCATCATGGCTCACAACAACCTCAAACTTTTAGACTAAAGAGTTCTTGCTGGGGTCTCCCCAGTCTCTGGAACCACAAGTACCCCCCCCCGGCCAATACTCAGCTATTTTTACTAGAAATTAGGTCTTCCTCTTGCTCAGGCTAGTCTTGAATGCCTGAGCTC